AGTCCAAAGATCTACCTCTTTCTTAGTGTCCTGCATTAATCTAAAGTCCTTCTTGAGGATCTTTAGAGCCACTGTCTCTGATGTGTCCAGTTTCTGGCACTTGGCGACTCTGCCGAAGACGCCCTCACCAAGAAACTTCACAACCGAGTAGCCACAAGTGCTGCTGAGCAGAGTTTCACCTGCCTGAACCTCCCGTGGTCTCGGTGTGACTGTGGAGACAAGCGATGAACACGGAGTCAAAATATGTGACGTGTATTTGTACAGGATGGAAAAAAGCCTCTAAAGTAAAATAGACAACCAATAAATAAAAAACAACCACAACACAATAACAAGCTGTCATAGAACTATTTTTCTTTCTTAAATCACTTTTTGTGTGAAAAATGTCGCTGTCATAACCTTTTTGTGACAGCAGGTGTCACCCAAGTGCCAGGACCAGTCAGGCAAACACCACTGAAGCCTAACGGTCACAGTAGTGGCAGAATTAAAATAATGAGGCTACAGATCATTGTATGTGTTCCTTACTGCTCCACAGGTATGTAGAAGGTGATGATAAATCACTCAGAACTAAGCTGAAATTTCACTTATAGCTTGTTTAAATATTCGGCTTAACTCGTGTACAAAATAAATGTTGGAGTTTGAACATAGTCTATGTAAAATGTTTTAACCGAGTTAGCCGCTAGCTTAGCGCGACCACGATGTGACAACTTGTGGAAATATTATGTTGTTTTATGAATACTGTGAGATTAAGCACATACAAAGCAACAGAAACATGATGTAACGTAAATGCTGAAGCACCTGATCTGTCGTTTGTGTCCATGTTGTATTTGATAATAGAGTAAATTTGTATGTTTTTTGTGGCGCTGTAGTGCGTGAATGGCTGCCGACTCATGACTTATGAGATTGCCTCACAACTGTTAGATTTTGTATAAGGAGAACCCTGTATCACATGAGATGTACATGGTGTGATATAAATATGTTTTGGTTAATACCAGACATAAAGATTTGAGTTTGAGCATGTTGGAAACATGTTTTGGTCTCAGTAGTGGCAGAATAAAGCGGTCACACACAGATGATTGTGTGTGTTCCTTTACTGCTCCACACTTATTTAGGATTGTGAAGCTACAACGCTACCGGCCCAGACACCCCAAGGCTGGAGGCTGGTAACATATTCACATAATCAGTCACCACATCATGAACATCAACACTCCTGATTTTCTGGCCTTTTTGACTGAATTCACTTGTGTAGAAAAAAAAAAAACAGAAATTCAAAGAGATGTAAGATCAAATTCGTGTGAAAATCAACACTGGCCTCAAGTGACAAACACTGATCAGGTTTATACCAGGTTTTTCTAAGCATGGTCTGTTGTTGTTCTGAAAACTTGGACATAATGTGACACAAAACTGTCCTGTGCCGCATTTAAGGAGCAGTTTCACAATTTGATTTTCAGTGTTTTCTGTATTTTTTGTCCCAGTAGATACAGTCTCTGTGTTGAGCCTGTCTTACCTGGTGCACCAGAGGCAACTGAGCTTAAACTCGTTGACATTTTGGTCTGAGTTCTCGTTTTCTTTGTCGACTGTTTTTGATTATGCAATCAAACAGGAGTTTACAGCTGAGGTGTGAAGTGTGAACTGCTCTCCATCAAGTTGTGTCCCCAAAGTGTTCTAGATCACATCCATATTCTGCCAGCTCTGTGACATCATTCCATTTGGAACCCACTGTGCTTTGGTGCATTTCCTGTTGGAAAATACATGTTAAGCTGACTGAGTTCAGCTCCTGATAGTGTGAAGAGAAATGTTGTCTTGCACATCTGTACTTTTTACAATATCTACACACTGATGATACAGTGAAATCAGCTAACAGTCCACAACAGCTGGTGTGTGTGTCCAGTTTTATTGTGTCTTTCAAACATGTGTATGTGAACACACTGAACAACCAAATGTCCTTCCTCCCGGACCACAGTGCAGTATAGGACAGACAAGAAGTTTAAACTTGAGCTCACCCTTCATGTAAACTTAAGGTAGTTAGTCACCCACATCTGTCTAATACTCTGTAATTCATTTATTTCATTCAATGAAGCACTCATCTCCCTGTCAGTCCTCAAACATTTTGTCTTTCACAATGTTCTGGTGTCAAAATGCTCAGCGTGACACAACCGTCTTTCTTTCATCTGACAAGTCTACGTTACAATCTGCATAGCAGGATGTTTGTTGTTATTTTTTATCATCATGACATACTGGATGATAGCTGGAAATGTTAAGTTCTTCACAAACACACCCTGAATCCTACCACGAACTGCATCAAACACCAGCCCTGATTAGCATCTATGCTAATCTATGCTAGGGCTGAGTCTATCTCATTGTCATGTTGTATTATTTGTAAGGTCGCTCTAAAGTCATCCAGCATTTCTCAGCATTACTTTACTTTTTGGGCTTCCTATCATGTGGCTGGAGAAGAGAATTAGCTCAAATTCCAATTGTAAGCAGCTAAATATCAGTGGTTGAAACCGTTTTCATCGGCATGTGGGAAAACCTCTACTGTATTTTTTCCTCTTTAACCAATATTGATTGTTAATGTGGTCGATCAGTTCATGAAACTGTTGAATCTTCTTCACCCCTACAAGCTCAGCTTCCCCTCGTCTCTTACTGAGCATTGCATAGGCTCATAGTCCACTACTGAGCAGACATATAACTGTATATAGAGAAAAAAGAAGCTGATTTAGAATGACAGATTTGCTCAACAGTGTTGAAAAATGAGGGGCAGACCACAGCACAATGTACAGAACTGTTTAAAACTCTGTCATTTCAATAAGTAACAACTAAATAACAAGACCAGCATTTCAACAATTTCTAACGAGTTGCTGCAGTTTCCAGCTCTACAGCTCAATGCCAAGGAAAGTACAAAATTCTGTGCACTCAGTTCTCCAGAAAGTGGATGGTGGTGAATCATCCACCAGTCTCTTGTCCATCCAGTCCAGCTCCAGAAGCATTCAGATCAGATTCAGATTCGTTTTATTGTCATTGCAACGAGTACAGGAAAAGTAAGGTGCAGGCCTTTCAGTGCAAAAGAAAATATAAAAACTTTGTAAACAACTCTATACAATATAAAAGGAATGCATATATATATAATAAAACAAGTCAAGTTTATTGTCATGTTGCTGTACATACACAGTCAGGCAAGATGAGGGAGCGTTTCTTCAGGATTATTCAATTCGTAAGTTTTGTGGAATGCACATCTGGGATAAGACACTAAACGTTCGCTGTCGTTGCCTCCTGAAGGGGGCGCTGTGTCTATGCGCGCCGTCATTCATTGAACATGGCAATCCTCTTCAGGTCCTGGTAGGTCTTCAGGGACACAAAGACACACGATGGTGTGATGATGGTGATGCTGCAGATGCTGCCCAGAGCTAGCTGTCTGTCTGTCTGTCTGTCTGTCTGTCTGGAACAATGTCGTCTCCTACAGCTCTGAAGAAATTCTGAGTGTGCCAATGCAGCTTTTGCCGATTGATATGTCCTGCTATGTTTATAGGCTATAATTTCTATCAGTACATCTTTATCGTACAGTCTGTTGAACACCATGAATGCTTTTGAGTTTGATCTCATTTTAAAGTATTGTGCTTTTGACGCCACTGCATTTACAGCACTAGCAGTTAAAATGTGCATATTGTAGAAATCCCTCTGTGCCAACATATCAACCATTAAATCAATACTTTAATGGTTTTTCTGAGATGTAGTGGTGAAAAGTACAGTTTTAAACTAAAATTATCGTTAGGTTTATTTTTACTTTCCCTTAATACCGTTTCACGCAACTTTAAATAAATGTAATGCTTTAGACTCCAGTACATGGATTTTACAGCATCAGCAGCTAAAAGTGTGCATGTAATATATTGCACATTACTCATTACAAATACTCTGTTATCTCATCTTTATTTTTTTGTGATTAGTTCTGTGAATAGGTTTTCAAGCTGGAAATGTTTCATGTTCAGAGTCCGATGTGGGTCCTCAGCTGTATTTGTAGCTGCTGTAACAAAGTCATTTCCGGCATACATTACTTTTAGATAATTCAACCAAATTTTCTGTTTTCTATGTGTTTTCAAACTATGAAATCTACTGGCCCATGTGGCAAACAGCTAGCATCACAAACAATGAATGCAATGTTAATGAATGCAATATGTGCTCCAATAATGAATTCATGATAAGAAAATGACCACACTGCAAATATAAATAAAACCAGAACACAACAGAGGCACTTTTTTTATTTATATTTTTATTAATTTTGTTATAAAGACGAAACCAGAAATCCACTAATGGGTAAATTACAAAACGCTAGAAATATCTGTTTTAAAAAAAATGAAATCCTGAGCTGAAACCACATCACTCTGGAGGTGTGGTGCCAGGTATCCAATCAGCTGTGTCTGTTTTTGAAAGGTTAACAGTCTCTAATCATCTCCCCGGTTAGGCTACATGACATTTTTCTCAGCGGCGTTTTCAGCACAGCAGTGTTCGAGCTGTTCGGGGTTGTGTGGGTAGTAGATGTCGGCCTTGTGTTCGTCCTCGTGCTCGATGTGTTTCAGGTGGATGACCATGTGCAGGGCGTAGGCCAGGACCAGCAGCAGGATGAGGGAGGTGATGAGACCCATCAGGATAGCCGGTGTCAGGAAGGTGATGCAGTCGCTCGCTGGGGAAAACTTCCCAGACGTGACACTGAAGGCCTGAATCTGAGGAAAGCACAGACACATGGGGGAGATGATTAAGAAGATATCATCATTTATCCTTACACACATGTACGTGAAAGGAGATCCTCTATGGAAGGTAAAAATCCACGATTAGAGTAGCCTGGGTTTTTGAGTCTTTAGTCAATAGTCATTTTCATGCAACTTAGTTTAACATATGGATTCATTCATGAATCAAATGTGGTTTTATGTTTTGAACTCATTGCAATAATGTCCTCCCACTGACATCAGGTCTGTTATTGATCCCTGCTAAAAAGAAAAAGAAAAAAATCAAACTGCATCGTATCAAAACATCAGTTGTGGTTCTGCTTGCTAAATAATAAATATACTCCACTACCGGTTCGTAAACTTTGTCTCTGACTTGTTTTGAAATAGGAAAGACTGAGGTTGTAGTTTTGTCATTGAATTTGAAAATAAAAGCTTCAAGCCTGGGCTGCAAGGTGAACGGTGGTTAGCACCGTTGCCTCGCAGCAAGAAGGTCGCCGGTTCGCGTCCCAGTGGGGACACCCAGGATCTGCAGTGTGGGCTCTTTCCAAGTTCTCCAGCTTCGTCCCACACAGTCCAAAAACATGTTGAGGTTAATTGATGATTCTAAATTGTCCGTAGGTGCGAATGTGAGTGTGCTTGGTTGTCTGTCTCTAAGTGTAATAGACTCCACTGCCTTCACCCTGAGTCAGCTGGGATAGGCTCCAGCCCCCTGTGACCCTAGTGAGGATTAAGCGGTGTATAGATAATGGATGGATGGATAGATAATGGATGGATGGAAAGCTTCAAGCCTGTTACAGCTGTCAGCAGCAATGAATGTTCAGAGGAGGAGTTTAGTGTAAGGTCAGTTTAAATATTGATGGCGTCATTGATCAAATTACTGACTGATGCAGAGTATCTAATTTTGATGCACATGCGATTACTGCAATGTAAGCTAGTTAAGTACAGTCTGAATCTCATTACCCTTTTGTTTGTCTGCCAGGTCTTAGTATCGACATGCAAACCACTGATCACTAGTATTCACATGCAGTGCTATGAAAAAGCATCCTGCTTTGTGTATCTTATTCTAGACTGCATCAGATCTTTAAACTAAACTGACATAATTAAAAGAAAAAGAAAAAAAAAACCTTGAAATAATAATTGCATGTATTGAAACAAAAAAGTTATCTAACACCAACTGGGCCTGTGTGAAAAAAAAAGTATTTACTTCCTTAGTTACTGAATCAATAAACTACCACGCTGCACTGATCACCTGCTGCAGCTGGATTAGACACCCCCAGGTCTGATTACCACCAGCCCTGTTTAGTCAGATCACCACTTAAATAGACCATTTCAGAGGTTTGACATTTGATTGTCAAAATCAAAAGAAATCCTAGAGTAATAGTGCTACAAAGCTCTTTAAAAGGCTCTGAGGTTCCACAGATCTACAGTGAGAGACTTTATCTACAAATAGAGAACACCAGGAGCAAAAGTGAAGTCCTCCAGAAGTGGCCAACATCCACAATTCCTCTAAGGGCGTAGTAATGAGTTATCCATCCTTCCATCTGTCCATTTTCTTCAGCTGCTCCGGGTTGGTTCACAGTGGCAGCAGCCTAAGCGGAGCAGTACTGACAGCCCTCTGAACAGTCCCAACTCAACTCAACCCAACATTTTTCAGCTCCTGCTGGGGGATCCTGAGGTGTTCCCAGGCCAGATGAGATATGTGACCCTTCCAGTGAGTTCTGGGTCTACCCTGGGGTCTTCTCCGAGTTGGATAAGACTGGAAAAGCCTCCAAAGGAAGGCACCCAAGAGGCATCCTCATCAGATACCTGAACCACCTCTACCAGCTCCTTTCCATGAGAAGGAGCAGTGACTCTACTCCGAGCTCCCTTCTGATGTCTCCTCAGCCTCTCTACAGGCTAACCCAGGCCCTCTAAGGAGGTAGCACATTCCAGCTGCTTGTATCTGCAACCTCATTCTTTCAGTCATTACCCAGAGCTCATGAGGGTTAAACGTGGGAGTAGGAACTGACAAATCAAGAGCTTTGCCCTTCAGCTCCGGTCTCTCCTTACCATGACGGTCCACTACAACACCTACACGACTGCTGATGCTGCATCAACAGTTCTATTTTACTGCCACTCCTTAGCGATTTCTTTGACAGAACACAAGAAATATTTCCTGCTGCTGATCAGACAGTGGGTCAGCTTGGCACACAGAGAGATACCTGGAAGTCGGTGAAGGTGATGGCCCAGCGGCGGGCGTGGTCGGTGCCGGGCAGCAGCAGGGCGCTGTATCGCTGCAGGCTGCTGACGTGGAGGCAGCGGTAGGAGGCGGAGGCCGGAGCATACACGTCGCTGGCGTTGAACACAGCCTCTTCAGAGGTGTTGTAGAGCAGTGAGACGCTGTCAACAGAGAACCACCACTGACCTGAAGACTCGTAGAAAGTGTTGGAGAGCTGCAGTCTGATGCAAGAAGGACAAGAGCAGAGCATCAGTCCAGCTGTACTTGTAGAGCCCACTCAGGGTTCATATCTAAGAACAGCGGTGTTTGTTTTCTGTTTTTCATTGATGGAACCATTTTGTTTCTGGGTTACAAGAAGCTTTTCAGTAGATGCTCAGCATGACTGCACACTTTCTGGCATTCAAGTATGATCCAAGAGGTGAACTAGAAATAATGGGTTTGCAATATTTACACTGATTAACGACTGGAGGCAATGTCCAGTTGTTCCAAAAATCAACTTTGCATGTGTTAATGTGGAGCGGAAGTCATTCATCACAGTTCTTCACAGCCTCAGGGGCACACACAGACAGTTTTATGACAACCAATGCAAAAATGTATTCAGCTTTTTCTACGTAACATTGTTGGGCTGCGCTTTTGAATTTACCAGCAATATAGGATTGTTCCATCTCAATCATCAGGGGCCTTCTGCTGAAAAGGTATCTGCAAAATTTTACATGAATATATGAAATACTTCCTGGGATAAGACTAGCTGATTATGAGTACACTGAAATATGAAAACACTGAAGCAGTCATGAAAAGTCCCATCTTTGAGCTCACATGAACAAAAATAGATAAATCTGATAAAGCAGAAGTCAGCTAGTGATGTTTTTCTGAACCATGTGTAGTTAAATGTCACAACAATACAAAACAAATTTTTCAATATGAAATACTTGGTCACAAAAAACAAAGATTCAGAAAATATCACTAGCTGACTTCTGTATTATCATTTTTTTTGTTCATGTGTGCACAAAGATGGGACTTTTCATGACAGCTTAGAATGTTAAAATATTTTGACTCACCGATAATCAGACATTATTCGATCTACTCTGGAATATTACAGATTATGAATTATAATTGTCTTTTTATGTCTGAGATAAACGTTTAAATATAGCCTCAAAGTTTGAACATGCTGAAAGTGAGTTGACGGTTTATCAGAAAAGTGATCTCAATGTATTGGATGTATCAATCTAAACATTTTAAACATCTTCATTAGCATCCATATTTTATGCTTTAAACAATTCCAGCAAATCAGAGATGGGCAACCAGAAATTGTTCTAAAAATGTGATGATTTGAGATGGAATGACCCCATAAAGTTACATTTGGGTGAATGACAGGTAGTTTGACGAACCTGACGGTCAGGCCTCTCAGATCTTCCACATCTCCAAACCTCATGACCAACCTGCAGAGGACAGACAAACGTACACAGATAAAGGGTCAGACCTACATGACAAACCATTTTGCTCAGGTTTTGTTGCTTCGTCACCAGACATTGCAACCCTCTGAGGTAGTACGTACGTTGCTTTGTCCCCACTGCAGACTGACTGACTGGTGTCGACGGTTTTCTGAGGAGAAAAGGCTCGCTCCGTCAGGTCCAGCTGTTTCTGCTTCTCATAGCGGAGAGACAGTTTCCTGGCCTGGAACAAGATGCACGGCTCCCCGTCGGACAGCACCTGGAGGACAGACAGCAGGGTTACTGCAGGACGCCTCTGCTCTGGGTAACACCTGCCCAGCAAGTAGGAAACATTCCCACAACGATCGCTAACATTACATACAAGTTCTGAGAAAAAACATCTTAGTCTAATGTTCAAAAAACTGTTTAAGGATATTTAACATTTCAAATAATGTCCTTCATAATGCATTAGGTTAAAATGTAAATCAGCATTCAAGAAAACGTCCTGCTGAAAACCTTTGCAGAACTTTCACAGAGCGTTTTTAGAACAAAATAAAAGTTCTAGCTGGTTGGTTTCTTAAAAAAAATAAACCAAAAATAATAAAATCATACATTGGCAAATAGGATGTGTGCTTTTGCATGTGTTACATATCCGGTACATAACCCTGAGCCCTAAATCTGATTTCAGCTTTTTAGCCCAACCAATTTTTATAAACTTTTTTTTATTTTCAATACAAACAACTGAAAATATGTAATATTCACAACTTCAGTCCATATATTGTGTTAAAACAAACAACTGAATTGCCATTTCTTCATCATATGGAGGCTGTGTTAAGGTTAGATAAAGCCCAGATTTAGCCCAAACATTATTATGTATTTCTATAACCGAAACAACGAGCTATAAATGTCAAGATGCATGATGTAATAACATGAAACTGTTTCCTGATTCACTGACTGATTGGCCTACAGGTGAGCTGTAGTGAGCTGGAGAGATTCCGAGCTGGATGATAAAACAGGAGTCACAGTACCAAATTGAGGCTGTTAAATGTAAAATAATTAGCCGTTTTCTAAAAGCAGATCAAAATTTGAAATGTTCCATGTGACAGTAAATGTTATTCATGCAGAGACTACGCCACCTTGAGAGGAGGGAAGGGAACAGCAGCTCCTTGTGTCTGAAGTAACTTCCTCCGTGACACATCTGGAGACTGGAGACAGAGAGGAACAGTTATCATATGAAACACCAACTTAAATGTACTTCTAATTTAATTTTCCTATTAGTTCACATTCGTTGCATTACTATTTTTTAAAAATTTTTGCAAACAAGAAGCCATTATTGCTTGATTATTACGTATTGAATTATCTTCAGTTTCTCTGTTCAGTGTTCATTTCAAGTAGACTGTATGTATGGGAGCGTTCAGTAAGGCCGAGGAAGTGTCATATGTTGTTGAATTTCAACATGAAGACAACATGGAGGCAGCTTGTAACTTTGACACACACTAAATTCTGCTGTTTGGATTCTGTAAATATGATTTACCTGCAGTTGTCTGAACTTGTCATTGCTTCCCTCATCTGTGGAAAGAAAACAGGATTCTCTTGAATATTCTTTATAACCCTATAAGGCTAACTAACACCTTGGAAAACCCTTTCCTCTATGATACTGAAAATGCACCCAGTGAAAACAAGACTTTTTGTGTATTTCTTTGGGAATACAAGGCTGTACCTGATGGTAGCAGGTAGCAATAATTTGCAGTTTCAGCTTCTTGTAGATTTTCATTAGTTTTTCCTCTCCTGTTATTTGCTCGTGTGTGATGATCTTCCTCCTCCCTTTTGTCTCTATGTCCTTGTATCCCTCAGCTTTTCTTCCCTCCCCCTTCTTTCCTCTCAAAGCTTCACCCCTCCTGTAAGAATGATCTCAATCTCTAAGCTTTGCTCCTCTTTGTAACTGAGGTTTATCTGTGCATGGATTAAAATCACATTTCTGCATTAAAAAAAAAATCTGATTTGTCTGTTTCAAAGCAAAACAGCAGGAAATGACTGTAAACTAAACTCAGAAAACTTGTGGAGCATGCATCTGTCCAGGAAGTTTCTGAATTTGATATAAAAGAATGATATGGTTTGATCGACCCATCTTACCGTGGACCGGAGACACAGCAGAACTGTAAACAGAAGAGACGGGACAATCAGTGAAGATGTTTATCATTTCTTCACAATTTTACATTCTTCATAATGTTACCAACATGTTTCCCTCTAAAAATGTACCTTTAATCCTTTTTCTTTTCTATTAGCTCTTTTTCTTTTGTGGTTATTTCATGTTATGTATTTGTGAGCATGTAATTTTATTGGCCTTTAAAACAGTGTGTCAGATATGAAACCAGTATCATGCAACATTTTACACACACACACACACACACACACACACACACACACACACACACACACAAACAATGACTCAATCTTTCAAAAAAAAAAAAATCATGGAAAGCGTTATTTTGTTCTCTCCCTGTGGATTTGAGTTCAACTTTCAATGTTTTTAAGTTACTCAAGTAACTTGTCAAATTTACAAATACATCATCTAATTCTGATTCTTTATCAGTTGACATTGTGGCAAAACGTAAGCCTGAAACACAACAGGTTTCTGTCAGTAGGAGGAAAATACATTTGCGGTTATACTAATGTACTAACAGTCACTGTTGGAAGATCTGAAATGGGAAAATTAAAATAGATTAAACAAAGAAGTGAAATACAATGCATGTTGTAATTAGTTTATAAACATATATATACATAAAGAGAAGTGAAGTCAACCCTCATTTTAAACTTTTAAGACCGCCAGAAAAAAAAAAAAAAACTTCTATTACTGAAGAAATGTGTTTTTATATTATAGAATAATATCTAATAAAAGCCAAATTAGTACATATTTAGACACAAACAACAACGAGAGAGCCCCAAAATAATGCTAGATAAAATAAAACAGCACACTTAAAGAATTTTAGTTGCTAATATTGAAAACAGAGGAGGATGACAGAAGATGAACCTGCGGGGTTTTGAGCACACACAGTGCACCTGGGTAGTCCAGTGACCCAGCCGCTGACCTGGTGGATTAGTGTTGAAGGTAACAAACACAGTAATCAGTCTGGCACAGAGAGTGTTGAGACCCACTCTGACCCAGATTACACACACAGTCTTTCCATTGAAAAATAAAGGCTCAAGATTTAATACTAGAATCAGCTTAACACCAAACAGCCGATCTGATTGATGTTTATATACATATATATATATATAGACATGCAGATTTTACATAAGGAGTCCTGAGCATGTGCAGATCAAGCTTCAGTGCATCCAGTTTTTTTAGTCGAAGAAAATTCTCCTAAATTGTTGATTATAAAGAGTTTAATGCTCTAAAATTCAGCTAATCCACTTTATAAAGTTCAGACTTGTTCATCAGTGATGAAAACATCAGCAATCAATCCAACCAATATTGTCATGTTTTAAATAAATTGTTGAGTTTGAAAGTTCAGTCCTGATGTTGCTGCCTGTGAACGTCCACTACAAAGATGCATAAGTATACACTAAGGGTAAAGCTTTCCAAACACCATCTTTAAACAAGGTAATCTCCTGTCTGTTAGCTAAACCATTTCCATGGCAACTGAGCAACTCCACCTGTTGATGAAGGCTGTGAGATGTGGCTGAAAGCAACAATTAAGATGGATGTGTTGTATTATTTCTCCAGCTGAGCCACTGATGGAGCAGTAAAGAGAAGTCACCCTTGCTTTACCTTTGATGCAAACCCTTTCCCTTAGAGGGAAGAGCTCCAACAATTTATCAAATAGTTGTCAACTATTTAATGCCAACAATTTTAAAAAAATTTGAATTCTCTGATTTCAGCTTAACAAATTTGAATATTTCCCAGTTTCTTTCCTCCTCTATGACAGAAAACTAAATATATTTGGGTTGTGGACAAAACAAGATGTGACCAGTGGCACCTGGTGGTCCTCTGCTGTCTGCCTCTGATTGGGAGAGGAAGCAATAAAGTGAGTTCGGTGGGTGGGGAGGCGTTGACAATTTTCTGTGTGAGGCCAGAAAAGACACAAGGCCTCAGCTGTCATGATTTGTGGTAAGACGTTTGTTGCATATTTAAGGGGTAGCTCATTCCATAAAAGTTAAGGCGTGCCTTTATAACAGTTGTCTCTGGATCTTGCCGTGTGGCCTCACAGCTTTTATAGGGAGTTTTGAGTTATTGTGTGTGTGAGATGTCGGCGTAGCTGGTATACGGAGATGTACTGTGGGTTCATTGTGGTTTAAAAGGATGCTTATTAAAAATGTGTTTTATTCTGCATTGGACCTGTTTAATCATTTATTTAATCATGTATGCATGACTTGTGCTTTGTATAGCGACTGCTCAGCGTGTTGTGCGCTGTTTCCTGCTGTCCTGTCTTGGTTTGGTTTGTATGACTTGTGTGTTTTATTGTGCTCGGCCTTGCAGGGCCTGTAGATGAAAGGACCTGGGGGTGCATCTTGTGAGAGCAGAATAACTTTAATTTTTGTTAATTGTTTTGTTTGTTTAAGTCACTTCCTTGTTTTCGATCCCCTGTTGGTAATTAATAGCCTTAATCCCTGGTAGTACTGATCTGTTTAACGCTTGGCCTGTGGTGTAAAGGTCAACAAAGACATTTGTCAGCTTGGTCTTTGGGAAGCACAGATCGATGATTTTGACCATACTCTAATATTTTGTGGACCAAACAACAATAGCTTAATCGAGTTGCATCTATTGTTCCTGATTGGGTCTCTTCATCGCCTCCCATCCGGTAAAAGGATCGGCTCACAAGTGAAGAAGAGGGTCCGTATGAGCCCAACATAGACTGATGTAAAGCCCTCTCACCCTTTGCCCCGTGTAATTCTGTCCTCTTGTTCTGCTTCTCACAGGTGGTGCTGTTAGATTCTGGTGCCAGTTTACCTAGTCAGAAGGTAACACCGCCGTGCTCACAATGGTGAACTGATTCTCCAA